AGGCGTGGTAGTAGAATTTTTCAGATATCCGGCTGGACGGGTGTTGAATCATTCCTGTTACACGTATTCTCTCTCAGTTGATTCGATAAACAAAGCCACAGTCAGTCATCAATCTCTCCCTCCACCCAGCTGTTACATTATATTTTAAAACTGTCATCTTATCCCATCCATCCTATTGTATGTTAAAATTGTTTCTCTACATAAACTTAATAATGTCTTCAGGCTGTGCGTAACTGAGCTGATGACAAGGAAGCCAACGAAATAAACAATGATGTTACAATTTCATTCGGCACTAATCACTGTTATTCTTTTTTTTCTTCACGTTCCCCAGTGGAACATAGGGCTTCAAGCGAGAGGCTTGAAGTTTCTGTAGTAGTGTTTATTTTACAGGATGGGGTTGCTAGCCTCATGCCCAACCTTTCCTCTTTACCAGCATTATTTCTGGCTTAGTGATGTAAAGGAATGTGTCTGTGGCCGGGGATCGAACCCCGGACCATATGCATGGTTGGCGAGCGTCCTAACCGCTATGCCACCGACGCACAACATTAAACGACATGATATAAACTGTTCAAATATACATACATAGTATTCTGTTGCTAATGCACTATTGAACTGTGGGAATAAGTGAGCATGATATTTCGTTGGCACACACACACTGTCTGTATCACACCACCACACACCACTAATCTATTTTGGCCTATGTTACACAATTGTATCTTAAGCTGCCATTATTTAAAAAATAATTATTTATAGTTAATTCATGTCATGAAATTAAACACTCTTAGTCTCATCACCCACCCACACACACACCCACATATTCTTACTCTTTTTAACATGAAGAAAGTTTTGCTTTAGCGACTAGAGCTTAAAAGAATATAAGCAAGTCAGTTCACTACAACTCTGCAGTGTGGTAGGAATTGCAGAGAGAGAGAGCTTACTGTCTTTATTTATTAGAACACGCCTTACTCTCTCTCACTCACTTGTGTGTCACATACGCAAAAAAAAATTCACTAAATATTATTGTATTGCGCTAGTGTTTGCTATGCTTTCAGCCAACATATTTTTAAGTATTGGTTTTGCAAGGATTTAGTTTCATTGGATAGAGGATTTCATCATGAGCTGACATCAGTTAGAGAACCATTGTAAAACCAGCCACAGGGAGTACTGGGCAGCTATTTCGTCCTAGTTTGGGACTCTTCGAAAGTACGCACTCACACCACAGAAGGTTCGAACCCAGGACCTTCTGGTTACAAGGCTAGCGAGCTCGTAGACCATTCAGTAGTCACTGGGACCCGATCCAATGGCCCAAACTAGGAGGAAACAGCTGTCCAGTACTCCCGGGTTTTCCAGTGGTTCTCTAACTGATGTCAGCTCATGATGAAATCCTCCATCCAACATATTTTTCTTTGATTATGGCTTGATTCCACATACAGTACTTTTTGGTACAAGTATGGAATTTTCAGCAAGTGATATCGGTAGCCCAAATTTTGCACGCCGACCATTGATATCAAGTGTGAGTCGGTAGGGGGATCGAACCCCGGACCATGTACATGGTCGGTGAGAGTCCTAACCGTTGTGTGCCACCCGACAGATAATGTGTTCCACCACCGGAATATTATTCTCACATATTCCCACAGTTCAGTTCAGCATTAGCAACAGAATACGATATATATCTGTTTGAACATTTTGTTTCATGTAGTTTAATGCAAGCCTGAATCACACGGTCAGTGATTTTTTTTCCTTCACGTTCCCCAGTAGAACATAGGGCTTCAAGCTAGTGGCTTGAAGTTTCTGTAGCAATGTTTATTTTACAGGATGGAGTTGCTAGCCTCATGCCCAACCTTTCCTCTTCGCCAGCATTATTTCTGGCTTAGCGAGGTAAAGGAGTGCGTCTGTGGCCGGGGATCCAACCCCGGACCCTGTGAATGGTCGGCGAGCGACCTAACCGCTATGCCACCGACGCACCGGTCAGTGATTGGTTAAAGAATATAAAACTGTACTGTATATATATATATATATACTGATCAATTGAAAAAATATGCTTGCTTCCGTGTTTTGCCTCCGCTAATACAGTAATATTAGTAGTATTAGCTCGACAGTCCAAATTTCACAGTTTTTTCATCCAAATATCATCCATCGCAAGGCAGAAGTAAGAAGTGTCAATTTGTCGAACACCTATGCCAGCGCTTAAGTTTGTATGTATATAGTATGCATTGTGACACACTTTAATAAATGTAGACTCATTGCTTTCGTAGTGACATCATCAAAATGATGTCATTTCAAGTCTGGATAGATGAATTTAGTTTTCAATTCTCTACAGATAGAAAAGCTGGAAAATCAGCTCCTATAATCAACTCCACTAACTCACAATTCAAGCATGCATAACACATGCATACAGGTAAGAATGGCGATAAAAATCAATGCATGCATACATACATGCATGCATACAAAGACGCACAAACGAACAACCCTTATGACTATAATGAACTGCCCACCATCTACTATTTCATACATTTTTATACCAACCTACGTGTCTATATAATATATTTTAAAAAATTAATCGAAGTAGAATTAGACGAAAAGATATGTAATCAATCCACATGTTACTTACTCCTCAACACCTCCACATTCATCGTTATTCAAATATACATACACTATTGGTCAGCTGCGATTATTTATTTATTATGTATGAACTGATGAACCTACTTGACTGACTTGACTGTTCAAATGTTTGATTAGGCATTATTTGAATCACCGATCCTACCATGTTTCTGTTATGTACACAGGGCTATAGAAGACTAGATGCTATAACTAACTAGGCGGAAATATTTATGATGGGAGTGGCTTGTGCTATTGGGTGGAAATTCTCGATTAGCAACCCCACACTGAATCACGGGGGTTTGAATGCCTTTCCACTTACTGAGGTTTTGGCAGCCATACCATCAGGTAGTATCTATTAGACGTTACACAGACACATACACACACAAACATGCAACAGATGTGGTTCTGGACTAAAATCAATGGAAATACAAGTGGTCTTTGAGTAACAGCTCACTAGTGACTGGTCCTATTCAGATAGATAGTTACCTGGATTCTAGTGAGAAGTCGTGACCACTACTACGATACACAGCAAGTCGGGTGTTAGGAGAAATACTCGCCAACGATGACACTGGTTGGTGGGTACCAGTCGCAGCTACATTGTGAATCTGTAAAACTTGGAATTCATCGGACTGGTCATTGGATCGAGTCAGGTCCCAATGGCTGCTGTGAATGGTCTACGAGCTAGCTAGCTAGCTAGCTGGCCATGAAACTAAAAGGTCCTGGATTCTAAACTTCTGTGGTGTGGCTGCGTACTGATGAAGAGTTCGTAACTAGGCTCCCTGTTGGCTGGTTTTCAATGGTTCTTTAACCGATGTCAGCTCATGATGAAATCCTGTAACCCCACTTTCTTTTCCAGGATAAACTGATTGAAAGAGAATGAACACTATATATGGCTGGAAGATAATATTCAAAGTATGGTCAATACATAAACGCTACATATATATAATTGAGAAAGAAATAAACTCTGAAGTGTGTACACAGACACAAATGGAATATCTAATAATAAAAATATAATAGAGATGCAATTTATATAATGTGAAAGGGATATGTATGCGTTATTAACACATTAATGCATTATCAATAGTACTACTACTACTAATAATAATAACAACTAGAAGACGTGTGGCAGCAACATAGAATGACTATCTTTATCAATAAGACATTATTATTATTATTATTCATTGGGTTATACAATTGTCATAAACCAACACAAAAGGAGTATGCAATCGCTTTTATTTGACATAATAAAATGATACATTTATAGACAAGAAAAAAAGGCGAAGAAAGACGAAGGGATATACACGTACGCAAATGGATGAGCACACACACACACAAGAAACACGACACATGAACACATTAGAGGCTAGAAACAAACAAACAAACGAACCGACCAAAAATTGATAATAATAAGAAACTAATGATATATATATATATATATATATATATATATATGTATATATATATATATATAACAACAAGTCATGTATTCTAAGGATTTGAGATAAAAACATCACAGTCAAATTATACTACTTAAATAGAAAAAAAAGGAATTAAAGACTACAATTTTGTTTAAATAAATATCAAAAAAGATATATATCTATATATATATGCAAACATAATATCAACAACAGCAGCAACATACAGCGCCAATCACCATCAACGGGAGGGATTTGAAAGAGGTTACTTCTTTCACTTATCTAGGGAGCATTGTCTCAACTACAGGAGTGGACGAGGATGTCAAATCGAGCGAGAATCGGGAAGGCGAGAAACACATTCATCAACCTGAAACCAATCTGGAAATCTTCGTCACTCAGCCTGCATCAACAACAAAATTCGGATTTTCAATACAAACGTCAAGTCAGTCAGTTCTTCTATACGGATGGATCAGAAACTTGGCCAGTGTGTCACCAAGAATATTTCCAACAGCCTGTTGCAAACCATTATCAACAGCTGTCTTCGCTGGTTCTATACTGAAGATCAGATGGCTGGAAAGAATCACCAACAAGAAACTATGGGAACAAACAAAACAAGAACCAGTTGCCCAACAAATATGCAGGAGAAAGTGGAGATGGATTGAACACTCACTCGCTGAGGAGGTGACTGGGTGACATCGTGCGTCAGGCCAGTGCTCGAGTGGAACCCGCCGAAAGGGAAGCGGCGAGTGGGACGTCTAAGGAGGGTGACATGGGGGAGATTGTGTGAAGAGGAGTTGAAACAGTATGGACTAACATGGATGCAGGTGAAAAGTACAGCAGAAGACAGAAACAAGTGGAGACGTGCAGTTCCACTAGGAACCCAAGGGAACAATAATAATAATAATAATAAACGCATCATCTATTAGCACAAAAAATAAAACAAAACAACAAAAATAACAACAACCAAATATAACTTGAACTTACTAAGTGAATATTTGGAGGAATCGTCAGGATATTTTTCTGATCAGAAGGATTTATCAGTGGAAAATTTGTCATTACTTTATTATTATTATTATTATTGTTTGATGATATCATCATATCTTCAAATGAGTTGGTATTATTCATTGAACAAATAGAGTTGTTGTTGTTCAGGTTGTTGTTACTCTTAATTGAACTCACCACCACCTCTGGATGCCACCAATCATCACTATCCATTAAACCGAGTAATTCTGATTTTTGTGAATCAATAAATCGATTTGATAGACATTGAATTGATGCTAAACTTGTATTTCTTGCTGTTGTTATACCCTGTTTATCTAATAAGGATGATGAGGATGATGACAGTGGTGGTGTAACAACTGTATGGTATTCATCACCACGAGATGATGATGATGTTGTAGCTGGAGTTGTGGCAGTATTAACCGTAGCAGCAGCAGCAACAGCGGCAACAGAAGTGGTTAGTGTATTATTACTACTACTACTACTGTCAGATGATGTTGTCGACGAGGCAGCAGCTGTCATAGCATCATTTATCGTCATTGTTGTAGATGAATATAAAGACGAAAAACACGAATTGTATTTCAGCATAGATTCATCGAATAAGCTATGATGATGATTTCGAGATGATGGTAGACTGTTATAATTATGTTTACTCATATTATTATTATTATTCTCCTTTTTCATAGTAATATCAACAATATCATCAAATTGTGATAAATTAAAATTGTGACTGTGTTGTACTTGCGGTGGTTGTTGTTGTTGTTGCTGTTGGTGCTGCAGCTGGTGATGAGGATGGTTCAAAGAAGAATGAATCGATTGCATAGATGAATTGAAATGCTGTGATAACCAATTATCGTGTATTGAAGGTAAATGTTGTTGATTTTCATTGGATAAGTTGCTGATGATTTGATGATTTGTAAATGATAATTGTGATTTATGTTGATTTATTGCATCAGCAGCATCATCATCATCAATATCATCAGCGTCGTTGTTGTTGCCGTCACTACACCTACTACTACTAGTATTATTATTATGCTGTAACGATGGATCTATAGCTTGTTTATTAACAGTTGAAGAATATGACCAAGTATTTTTTTGCCTTTGACTAGTGGAATGAAGAACTTGATTAAATATGGGATTAGACAAACTATCAGTGTTATAACCACTGCCTGATGATGTTATTGTTTTCGGGACTGTTGGTGTTTGTTGTTGTTGCTGTTGCTTTTGATAAACCACCGCCTCCAGTAGCCATAGCAACAACAGGATGACAAGGTGGAGAAGAATTACCCGATGAGATTGACTCAAAACTAGTTTGAAAAACCTTCAAAAGATAATAATAATAATAATAATAATAATAATAATAATAATAATAGTAATAATAATGGTAATTCTACAGAGGTATGCAGTGAAATAGTTAAAAAAATTTAAAAAAAAGAATAGAAATTAACACAAAAGAAAAACACATGAGTAAATATTCAGTATATAAGAAAATAATAACAAGCAATATATTTTTGCATTACATAATGAGGTGCTGGTGATGTTTTTTTTGTTTATTCCTTCAAGTTCCTAGTGGAACATAGGGGGCTTCAAGCTAGAGGCTTGAAGTTTCAATAGCAGTGGTGACTATTTCTGCGGGATGAGGTTGCTAGACTCATGCCCAACCTTCCCTGTTTACCAGTCCTGGTTCGAACCCCAGTAGGTGCGTACTGCCTATGATCCCCAAACTGGGATGAAACAGCTGGTTGTCCAGTACTCCCTGTGGCTGGATTTCAATCGTTCTCTAACTGATATCAATCCGTGATCAACTTGTAAAAATGATTTATTATCCCCTGATTTGACTGACTGGTGGTAATAATATCTTCCATATCTCTGGTATTTGCGTTGTGTCATTTCAGTTGCATGGTGTTGAGTGTAGACTTGATAAACTAAGATTCACTAATCAGTCTCTTTCTCTATGTCCATCTACCTGTATTACTTTTTAGAATTTCAACTCCGTCCCACCCTATTATGTGGCAGGACAAGTTACTTATTTTTTACCACAGAAACATCTTATTTCCTATCTTATTGTATTTTATTGATAACACTAATATTATTTCCGAATGTATTCTATCTTATGATTGATTTTATTCAAATGTGTAATCATCAGTTTTCTCTCATGAATATAATAGAAGCCAGAAATTTGCGTGAGTAGTGCCTTGATATGATTATGAACAGTCATAATTTGTGCTCGAAACGTCATTATTAAATATTATTGTATAACAAACACTGTGTGATTTTATCAAAATAAAATTTTATCCCTAATGGAGCTTTATGTGACCGTTGAGATCACTTAAAACTGCATACACGACGACCATTACTCAGTGGTGATGCGCTGAAGGTGTGAATGGATAGGATTTTTAAGAAAACAACGATAATCATCGGATCCCAGTTGGTCAGCTAGACGGATGATTGTTTGCTTTTGCTGACATCGTAAGTGCAATCCCACGCGATGTTTCTGGGGGTGGGGGCTTTCATCAAAAGACATATACCCCAAGCCAACCTATCAAACCAAAAGCCCCTAAGGAAAGTACAAAGAAAATCGCCCTACCATATATAAAGGACATCTCAGAAATCACTGAAAGACTCTTCAAACCTTTAGGAAAGGACACCACACACAAACCAACAAAATCACATCATTCAGCCGGCTCCATGTCAACCAAAAGACTCAACAACGAAAGAAGATAAAACCAACATCATCTACAAAATAGATTGTATCAACTGCGAAAAACACTCCATTGGCCAAAGTGTACGTCCCCTTCGTCTTCGTATCCACGAACATAAGCTAACCGTCAAAAGACATGATATCCACTCACTCATATCGCCTCACTACATACAGACAACCACGGACATCAGTTCGACTGGGACAACCAACGTTCAAATACTAGACAGAGGAAACAACAAGAATGCTAGAGAATTTTTAGAAGCGCGTCTGGTATTCCAGTGAATCATCAATCAATAGTCACATCGAGATAGACAAAATTTATCAACCGATAAGAAGGAATTCTCACACACAAAGGATCAAAGTTCAAGTCAAGGAAACAATCAGTAGCAATGCAAGTAGCCTAGAAGGTGTGAAAACACACGAAAACAACTAATCACTTTCACGGCCACCCATGAAGAAAGATGACTAATAAAATCGTGGAGAAATCTGAAAGCTCACTTCAACAAACTAAAGTATGCGCTGAAGATGTTGCTTAGTAGGGCAATGAAAGCTTCGCAAATTAACTATCCAGCTCAGACAACACATCCACATCAAAATTTCTGTAATTAGTGATTATGAGTAGAAAAAAAAGACAATGGACCTAATTTTGTGGCCTAGCCGTTTGTTTGTAAGTTGAGTATCATCTAACAGTAGGTTATCATAATATTCTGGCAGGTTTTAGTATTCCACTGTGAATTGAGAAGACAACTTTACAAACAATACGCACTCCTTCTGCCTTATATCAAATAGAATACTATGGATGAGATGCGTGCATACAACACTGTGATACAATTTGTATGCAATTAATAAGGTTAAAGTTACATTACAGTGACAGGAATAAAAGAAAAAGCCTTCACAAATGAGCTATGGGAATCCGCATTACTCATCACATTGAAATGTTGTTACTTTGATTATCAAGTGTGTTGTGATGCGCAAAAGAATAACAGGTAACTTCACATCACAATGTTCCTCACTAACTATACTAACTACCTATAGAAGAGACTTTATGTTCCAATCTTGACAGTAGTGATCTATAATAAAGGAGGTGAAAACGCACACACACATATATATACAGCTTGGAAATGAAATTCGTTGAAAAGAGATATTTCTTCGCTGAACAAAAACTGTGTTTTTCACGTTGTGAAGGGAATGCCAACGAAATACATAGCACTCACTGATCAAGGCACTCACTCTACTCGAACTCGTGCAGCCAGCCATGTGAAAGACTACGAAGAGTTGTCATCTGAAGTGATGATAGAATGGTGATGGAATTAACCCTAACTGCTGACTTCAGTGACTGAAGGAATAATCTCGTTGACTTAGAATATGCAAATGAGGATACAGACAAAATACAGCAGAGTCTTCTGAACACCTTGAGAAGAAATCTTCGAATGTTTGGCATGCAATTCACTTCTGTCAAAAGTAAGATGATGAGGCTACAGGAGTGGACTGCATCGACTAACTCTTAGCTTAGAGATAGGCAGGAGTGAAGTGGTCGGTGAAGCGTGTTAACCACTTCACTTATTTGGGGAGTCGCATCAGCCAACACCAACGAAATGATGTATGACGACATCTCAACACGGATAAAGAAGGCTCGTTCGGGATATGCCATCTCTCGCTTAGTAGATGTGATATCGGGCCAGTTGTCAACCAAAGATATGTGCACTACTAATCAGCAGCACTTTGCTTCGTCCTCTTTTGTGGCTGTGAACGGGACATGGTCATTGAAAGTGAAAGACATGAGAAGACTAGCTGGCTGTCTTTGATCATAGGTGTCTGTGTTTTATCTCCCGTGTTAGATGGTAAGTGTAATAGGGTGAGTAATATTGACGTTAGGCCTCAGTAGAGTTCTAGGTAAGTAGGGAGGGAAAACCAATCGACGAGGTTGTGAAGCAGATGCATCAATTGAGTGAGATGGTTAGGGCATGTGTTACGCATGCATACCTCGACGGGCAATGTTTACATGACATAAGAACAGGTTGGTTGGAAAAGAGCTAGTAGGGATCAGACGAAAACATGGCTTCATCAGTCAATCAAATCCATAACAATCAGTTTAGGCCAGCCAGCCACTTTGGGAGACAGACAATTGGTGATATGGTTCAAAATCCTCGTTATCAATGGCTGGTGCAGATGCATCCACGCCTTGTGACTTATCCAATAAAACTATATTCTTCTTCGATATTATTATTCTTTTTGCCTCGAATCTTTATTTTGCATTTCTTTTTTACTTTCTTCTCTTGTTTTGTGCGCCAAGTTGAAGTGTGGTTACTCGAACTGCTGCACATCCGTGCAAAGTGCTACTATGTTGAGACCAGTCAGTCAGCCTATTCAATCGCAAAATGATTAGGATGACAAATATATCTACATACATACAAACATACATACACACTTACTGTAGATGTGTTTGTCTGTAACTTGAATGGTTTCAACGTGTTCGAAGCGCTGTTGTGATTGTTATTATTATTATTCGTTGTACTAGCAGTACTAGTAGTAGTGTTAAGAGTGTTGCCATTATCACAGGTTATTTGATGCGAATCAGGATCTGTGATCCTACATTTACTACTTTTACTAATACTACCAGTAGTAGTAGAAGCAGTATTAAAAAATAGATTGGACTGTGATGATACAACTGCCGTTGAACCGCTGTTACTACCACTACTACTTGTTGTTGTTGCTGTCGTCGGCGTTGTCGTCGTCGATGTTGACATTGCACCACTTAAACCAGCTGGACCATAACCCCCGTGTAAACGCATATGTCCATTTAAAGCAGATTGATTTTTAAAGCGTTTTTGACAAACACCACAGGCAACACGTTTTGGTTCTTCTAATGGATGTGCCATTAATAGCGCTACCTTAGCTGCATTGGCTACTTCAATTGGATTCAATGTGAAATTATTAATTTTAACAAGATTATTAGTATTGATATTGGAATTATTATTATTAGTACTGTTAGTGCTACCGCTACCGCTGAGTAGTGCAGCGGCAGCTGCAACTGCAGCTGTGGCTGTTGCCGTCGTCATTGTCGTTGGCATCGTCATCATTGTAGTAGTCGCTTTCTGATTGGAGAAATCATATTCATCGGTTACAATCACTTCATCATTATCTGTAATATCCATATTATTGTTATTGTTATCATCGTTAATTGAGACACGTGAATGCGGTGAATTTGTAGGTGAATTTAGCATCGACTGATCTGACCGAGTATTTTTACCACCCCCACCACTACTAATACTGCTATTACTGTTCCCGCTAAATTTCGATTGCTTCGTTGAATTGTTGTTGCCTAGAATAAAACAATTTAAGGAAGAAACAAGAAAAAAAAGCAACATATATAGTAGTAATAGTAGTAGTTGACACAGCATTCAGTGTAGATTAATATATACAATGAAAAATCACTTATATATGTTACAGGATTTCATCCTGAACTGACATTGGTTAGAGAACCATTGGAAAACCTGCAAGGAGTACTGGACAGCTGTTTCGTCCTAGTTTGGGACTCTTCATCAGTATGCACTCAAACTAGGACGAAACAGCTGTCCAGTACTCCCAAGTTTTCCAATGGTTCTCTAACCAATGTCAGCTGATGATGAAATCCTGTAACCAATCAACCAAATCCCTACAAACCAATACTTGAATAACAATGAGATGCTCACTGGCGACTGGTCCTATTCAGGTAGGTAGTTACCTGGGGTTCTAGTGAAAAGTCGTGACCAGTAGGGTGCAGCAGGTCGGGTGTGAGGACAAAATACTCGCCGAAGACATTGGCTAGGGGTCGCGCTATGTCGTGAATTGGCAGAAGTTAGAATTCATGCGTTGGCCATTGGATCGAGTCCCAGTGGCTTAATGGTATACGAGCTCGCCTTGTAACCAGAAGGTCCTGGGTTCGAACTCTGGAGGTGGGTGCTTACTGATGAAGAGTCCCAAACTAGGACGAAACAGCTGTCCAGTACTCCCAGGTTTTCCAGTGGTTCTCTAACTGATGTCAGCTCATGATGAAATCCTGTAACCAATCAACCAAATCCCTACAAACCAATACTTGAATAACTTATATATGTGTTGATGCATCCACATAGGGGTGTATATCATCGATCGCCTACGAAAGCGAAGCATTTGTGTATTCGGTAACTTGGGGGGTATAGTTACAGTCCAGTGTGCGTCGCTTATCGGTCGGTCACCACCACCTGACGCTTATGCTGAGGCACTCACCCTTCTCCACCATTGGAGGTACTTATATCACACTTTTTTAGCAATCTCCATTCATTACGCACAATTTGGAGCTTCTGAGAAGTGACTCTTGAGAGACGTTTAAGCCTAACCAGTAGGAAAGTGCGATAATATCAACTGTTTCGAGGAGTGTTAAGCAAATTGTGTCTAGCGTGAGGTGTTCGTATTCTAAGACAGTGCATTGATACCAGATGTTACGTGTTCAAGCTGAGGTACCCCCCCCCCATCCACTGGGGTTCAATGTAAGCAGCAATGCAGTAAAATTTTGTTAATGGGGCTTAGCTTGAAAGTCTGTGTAGAACTCTTTTACACGTAGTAAACAAAAATCATGCTTGTCAACCACGCAGGTGGTCAGGGGTTCAATCCCCGGCCATAGACGCACTCCTTTACCTCGCTAAGCCAGTAATATGGCTAGTAATGCAGGAAGGTTGGACATGATGCTAGTAACCCCATCCTGTAAAAATAAATACCATTGCTACCGAAACTTCAAGCGTCTAGCCTGAAGCCCTATGTTCCACTGGGAACGTAAAGGAATAAAAAAAGTAGTAGCAATATAATTCAAGTAATGATAAATAGACTCGAACAGTTTGTTAAAGTCGCAGCAGATCAAATAAAAAAAATCGCATGCGCTTCTCACTCTCTTGCACTCAACATTAGAACAAAAAAGAAGAAAAAAACCCAAAATCGATGCCTTGTAGAAACAAAGATTGATGTCAAAAATGATAGAAAAAAAACTAGTAGCTCATAGGGATGATATTAATTTTAGTTGTGTTTTCTCAGCTACATGTTTTAATTGACATTTCATTGTCCTTCTAGGCAACATCTTCAGTGCTAAGACTTTTCTTCGCCATTATGTTCCCCACTTTCTTAATGTTGCTCCGTTGGTTAACTTCAGTCAGAGTCCGACCTGTCATAACAATTTACTAACATACATAATACCTAATCAACAGAATTTATACTACAATCTAAGTGTTATATTATTCGAGTTTTGATTGGACACAAGTCAGTAACTAATGTAATCTATGTGTATGTGTGTGTCTATTCCTATCTTTGGTGCAGATTGAATTCTATCAATCAAGTTTGCAATGTGGCTATTATGCCTCTAGGTGGCTCGCCATCGCGGTGCTCTGTGAATTGTTGGTGATTAGATGGTTGGCGGCGAGGCATCTAGAATGGTGGCCACATTGCAAACGTGACTGATAGAATTCAGTCTGCACCAAACAAAGGACTAGATACAATACACTAGTTACTGACTAATATCCAATCAAAAATATCCAATGCAGTCAGTCCTACAAGAGGTCAATCGCGAGCCTAAATAGCTCCTCAGTGGTAACATATCTGACTGCATCACTCACTGGGTGGGTGACGTGGGTTCAGAAGGTGGAACATGAGTTGTTCCTTCAAGGTTGCAGATGCACCTTGCTGATAAACGCCAACTAGCACGAAACCTATGTCAATCAAGCAAGGCTTCCTGTGGCCGATTGCCTCCAACCATCAAATACCAACAATATTATTAGAGTCTTGAATCTTCAGCTCGAATTATTTCGACAATTGTCTGTACCTTCTTGAGTTAAATTGGAATTCTCTGCATTAAAAAATTCATAAGGATCATGAGAATCTCATCAATGTCTTAGTTTCTAGCTGAGAACCTTGAAATGTGAAACCTCCGATAGAAAACTAGGCGCTGCAGTACTGTTATTGTGACCAAAAAGCTTTAGTGAAGAAATACAGTAACCAAGACGAACGAAATGACAGGTATGTAGTATTCTCAATATCCACGTATGTTGTATTGATGACAAAAATTAGTCGTTACAACTGTCTATCTCAACTTCATCAACTTTCAAAAAGCCTTCGACAGTGGCGAACGAGAGGTGATTTGGAAACTACTTCGCTACTATGGGGTGCCACCGACAATTATATATATATATATATATATATATACATATACGACAACGCTGCATACCAAGTAATCCACAAATAGGAAACTCACGGAATACTTCGTTGAAGTGAAGATGGGAGTAAGACAAGCTGACTGACTGCCTACTAACTCTTGGACAAGAACAACAACAACAGACAACGATTAGTATAAATGGGAGGAACCTGAAAGAAACAACCTCTTTTACCTACCTGACTTGGGAAGCATCGTTTCAACTACATGAGAACGGAACTGACGAGGATAATAAAGCAAGAATTTGAAAAGCAAGACAAGCTTTCACTACTCTCAAGTCTGTGTGGAGGTCAACAGCACTCAGCACCAAAAATAACATCCGGATTTTCAACTCCAATGTGAAATCAGTCAGTGCTACTTAACATAGGGATCAGAGACTTGCACTGCGCGTCATAAAGAGCATCTCAAACAAACTACAGACCTTCATTAACAGTTGTCTTCGCTCAATACTTCGCTCAAGATCAGATGGCCGGCCAGAAAAGATCAGCAACAGCGATCTCTGGCAATGAGAAAACCAACCAGGAACCGATTGTGAAACAAATAGGAAGGAAGAAATGGAGATGGATTGGCTGGTTATACTCTGAGGAAACCATCAAGTGATATCACTAGACAAGCCATCACTCGACTGGAACCCGAAAGGGAAGCGGCGAGTTGGTCGTCAGTGCGAAGGTGGGGTGACTTGGAGGAGATCATGTGAAGAGGTGAAACCATGTGGGCAGACTTGGAGCCAGGTGAAGACTCTAGCAGAGAACCGAACGCAATGGAGACGCACGGCTGAAGCCCTTTGTTCCTCTAGGAATTAAAGGGAAAAATAATAATAATCTGATCTTGAAAAAAAAGAATTACACTATCTGAACTAACATTATTCCCCAGTTAAATTCGACTCAAATGTAAACACAATATAAATGCTGCTGCTGATGCTTGTTTAAATTTTCACCTGTAGGCCGATCGATCATCTAGTTTGTGTATGTGATATTAGACATTAGAAATCATCCGTGAATTCTGAATGTTCTTGTCGGCCTTGTCTGGCTTTTTTTTAATTCCCCACATAATTCAGTTAGATTTCATCGATTTGTAATTTTTATTCTATACTGGTGAGATTTTCAAACATCTACTACTACTAATGGTCGTCTGTATTGTACGTTTATAAGCTTTAATTAGTTGAATACCGGCGCATAAGATAAAAATCCGATACATATTTATACTTTTCTATAGTTGGTTTGTAAGCATTAGTTTTATTTTTTTACGAGTTGATCACGGATTGATATCACAGATAGAGAACCATTGAAAACCACCAGGGACAGGGAGTACTGGACAGTCAGCTGTTTCATCCTAGTTTGTGAATCATCGCCAGTACGCACCCACCACCAGGCTTCGAACCCACGACCTTCCGGTTACAAGGCGAGTTTGTATACCTTTCAGCCACTGGGACGCCATTCAATGGCCAGCTCATGAATTCCAACTTCTACCGATTCGTGACTCAGCGCGACCCCATCCAATGTCATCAGTGGGACATCCACCCTCACACGTGACTGCATCGACCTCACTGGTCACGACTTCCCACTAGAACTCCAGGAAACTGCATCCTGTAGCAAGTCACTCACTAGCGAGCATCACATTCATCTTCTATAGTTGGTTTGTAAGAATTAATTTTGTTGTTACGAGTTGATCACGGATTGATATCACAGTTAGAGAAGCATTGAAAGCCAGCCACAGAGACAGGGAGTACTGAACAACCAGATGTTTCATCCTAGTTTTGGGGATCATTGGCTCGCTAGTGACTTGCTACAGGAGAGAGTTTCCTGGAGTTCTAGTGACAAGTCGTGACCAGTGAGGTGCATCCAGTCAAGTGTGTGAGGATGGATGTCCCACCACCGATGACATTGGTTGGTGCCAGCCGCGCTTAAGTCACGAATTGCTAGAAGTTAGAATTCATACACTGGCTGGCCATTGAATCGGTTCCCAGTGGCTTATTGATATACGAGCTAGCTTGACTTGTAACCGGAAGGTCCTGGGTTCGAACTCCACCATCGGCGCGTACTGCCGGTGAGTCTCACAGACTAGTTCTAGTTTTCAATGGTTCTCTAACTGATATCATTTCGTGATCAACTCGTAAAAACATATTTACACTTCGTGAATAAGATGTAGAAAGGGTGAATAACCCACCCACACACACACAGACACACAAGAATGAAGGATTACGTGGACTGCTTATCTGTTTATCTACAATGATAAAAAAACACTCGGAAAGTGAGGTGATAATTCTATACTTTTGTGAAGCAAAGTTACACAAACATGTAAACACACGCACACATACACACACGCAGGCATGCATATATATGTATGAAGAGCAGACACATATTATAACATGAAGATATGCAAATTATACCATCTATTGAATTTCACACAGACAATACAACCTACAATAAATATGCTGAGGTCTAGTATTAGCTAATACACATTATTACTATAACTATTATTATCATTAAAGAGAAAAATATTGAACAAAGTATAATTGCTGTTTTCGTATTCATTTATTTGTGTGTGTTTATTGCCAACCACCAATTATGCTCTGTTTCGTCTAACTTTCTTTAATATTTCAGTTTTAGGGGTTGCGGAGTTATTCCGTTATTATTATTACATTCCTTTGCTTTCCCATAGCTTTAAGCTAGAGCTTTGAAGCTTCGCTCAACCTTCCCTCTTTGCCGGAGTGAGTCAGTGGCCGGGGATCGAACCCCGGATACATTGAAAATTGAGTTGTACAATCAAGGTATGAGGTGATAATGAGTTGATGATAATTAACTAATCAAGTTGCGTCATACTATCCGACTATTTCGCTAATTACCGAAAATATAAACACTACTGGCGAAATGATTGTAGGCAGTTAGTGGTGGTGATTACCAGTGGAATTTAGGAGGTTCTTATTCCCTCCTAACTGGGATTAATCACCACCAAACAAAATAAATTCAGATGGTAATTCTTAGATATCATTGAAGCATTCGTACTAGA